CTTGTTGCATAAACTCATTTAGTTACGTATATATAATTAATACTTTACATGCATGTGTATTAGAAAAGATGTAGCATTACATAAACATTACAAAAGTTGTTAAATTTGATAGAATATCTAAATATTTACTTACGTCCAGAGTGAATCCATAATATTGCATCAATGGATGATAACTAACGAATTCATACATTGTTCCTGAAGAAGGAAGAAAATATCCTTGTATACAGTATTTAACGCCGTAAGGTATGTTTTGCACATTCCCTATCGGATGATCAAAAGTTCTGTATATAATTTGTTCATCACTGAGTGTTTGGACAAATGTATTTGCTTGTCGTAATTTCTCATCTGTTTCATCTTGAAAGTTTAAAATATTGATTCTAGACGACTGCAGCTAAAAATAATAAACACATTTTTCTTATAATCCGAGGAATAAGTTGAAAATGAAAAAAATGTGTTTACATGCATTACYCCTTTCTTTTTAATTAGTACTTGAGTAATAAGTCATTTTTCATTATTAGCCGTGCACTGTTACCGTTTCTTTCTTAAAATTGATATATTTAAATAAGCCAGTGGAGGTACTCTTTGAATTTTAGGGCGGTATTTTGGAAAATTTTCTTTATATATTTTTTATTTAAATAAAATAATGTACACAATTACTTCATTTATTACATTTTGTACATAGTTTCATATTTTCGTATTGGCTAAATGAGATAAGCCGCCCCCCTCCCTAATGCCACTACACCAATACACCACACAACACAACTCACCACACTTCTACACTCATCAACACCACCCACACGCGAGRGCACATCCACACAGGCAAACACATACCACACTGGTCAAAAGGGTCATCGTACCAGGCTTTTAGTCAGTCTCGTTCTGACCTGCAAACGAAGCTTATGCACCGCCGTTTTGATCCCCGCGCGTTTTCGTTCCGCACTAAGATTAACTGGTGTTAATAGTTCCGCAATAACGTTCATCTGAAAATCGAACTAAAATTAATTGTACCATAGTTACCCTCAAACTTTTTAAATTTTGTAAATAGATTAAAAACAAAAATCTAATTAAATCCACATTAAATTATCCTTCTAAGTAAAACGGGTGTATTATTTAAAGAAGTGGAAGT